GTACAGTATGGAAATGGAGTAGCCAAAGAACTTATATACAAGACCCTTGAACATAAACAATGGTGGGGGGATTGCCTGAGGGAGTGGGCTTGTTGGGTTGATGGGAGTAAAGGGGAAAAATCAGGACAACTGTAATAGTATACTCAATAAAACATAATTTTTTTTAAAAAGAGAATATTGTCATTCCCTTTCCAGGCCCTTTCCTATGCCTTCTCCTCAAAAAAATTACAATTATTACAGTTATTTGTTTCTCAGGTTCTTTCTAGAATTATTTAATACTAAGGCAAGCATATATAGATATGTTTGTATGCAAAGGAATATATTATATATGTTATATTATGTATTATACATGTAATGTATATGAATGTTTATTTATTCCGTCTCATACAAAAGCACATTGTTCTGCACTCTGTGTTTTTTAATTAACTTAATACATCTTGGAGGTCCTTCCATATTAGATTTGTTCCTCTTTTTATATAGCTACACAGTATTCCATTGCATGGATGGACTATAATTTGTACAGTATTGAGGGTCATTTTGACCGTTACCAATATTTTTATTGCCAATTATTTTACAATTATTAAAATAATTGTAATAATTGTAAAATTGTGGGCATGAAGGTTGATTGAGCCCCCAGGGAGGGCTATTTTGTAACATATACAAACATACAAATTGTCATACTTTTCCTTCCTATAATTCCTCATCTTGGAATTTATCCTAAAGGTTCCATGTGCAAGAGATATATATACAAAGTTATGACAATTTGTATGTTTGTATACGTTACAAAATAGCCCTCCCTGGGGACTCAATCAACCTTCATGCCCACAAGAAATGTGTGAAAGTGCATTGTCCCACACCATCTCTAACAGAGTACATTGCCAAAGTTTTTGGTCTTTTACATTTCAGTGAGTAAAATATGTCTGCCTAATTTTAATTTTTATCTATCTTATTAATACTTTGTTTTCACATTTTTCCATATGTTTAACAGCCATTTTTATTTTGAGAAATTGTGGATTTATGACCTACCTAAAATCATTTTCTTTTTACCCTTTTTTTAATATATTTTATTGATTGTGCTATTACAGTTGTCCCATTTCTTGTCTCCCCTTTATTCCCCCCATCCTGCACCCTCCCTCCCACCAGCATTCCCACCCCCTTAGTTCCTGTCTGGGGCTCATACATATAAGTTCTTTGGCTTCTCCATTTCCTATACTATTCTTAACCTCCCCCTGTCTATTTTGTACCTACCAATTATGCTTCTTGTTCCCTGTAACTTTTCCCCCATCCTCCTCCTACCCACATTGATAATCCTCCATGTGATCTCCATTTCTGTGATTCTATTCCTGTTCTAGTTGTTTGCTTAGATTGTTTTTGTTTTTTAGGTTCGGTTGTTGATTGTGAGTTTGTTGTCATTTTACTGTTCATAGTTTTGATCTTTTTTTCTTAGATAAATCCCTTTAACATTTCATATGATAAGAGCGTGGTGATGATGAACTCCTCTAGCTTTACCTTCTCTGGGAAGCACTTTATCTGCCCTTCCATTCTAAATGGTAGCTTTGCTGGATAGAGTAAACTTGGTTGTAGGTCTTTACTTTTCATGACTTTGAATACTTCTTTCCAGCCCAGTCTTGCCTTTAAGGTTTCTTTTGAGAAATCAGCTGATAGTCTTATGGTAACTCCTTTGCAGGTAAGGAGACTACTTTGTCTCCTTTTCTCTTGCTGCTTTTAAGATTCTCTCCTTATCTTTAATCTTGGGTAATTTAATTATGATGTGCCTTGGTGTGTGCTTCCTTGGGTCCAACCTCTTTGAGACGCTGATCTTCCCTGACTTCCTTGAAGTCTATCTATTTCCTTTGCCAAATTGAGTAAGTTTTCTTCCACTATTTTTTGAAATAAGTTTTCAGTTTCTTGCTCTTCCTCTTCTCCTTCTGGCACCTCAATGATTCAGATGTTGGAACATTTAAAGTTGTCCCAGAGGTTCCTTAGCCTCTCCTAATTTTTTTTTTTGAATTTTTGTTTGTTCATTCTTTTCTGGTTGAATGTTTATTTCTTCCTTCTGCTCCAAATCATTGATTTGAGTCCCAGTTTCCTTCCCTTCACTGTTCATTCCCTGTATATTTTTCTTTATTTCACTTTGCATAGCCTTCACTTTTTCCTCTATTTTGGAACCATACTCTACCAGTTCTGTGAGCATCCTGATTACCAGTGTTTTGAACTATGCATCTGAAAGGTTGCCTATCTCTTCATCACTTGGTTCTATTTTTGGAGTTTTGATCTGTTCTTTCATTTATGCCATATTTCTTTGTCTGGGCACACCTGTTTCTTTGGAAGGGGTGGAGACTTAGGTATTCACCAGGGCAGGGCAACTCACATTGCTGGGTTGTGATGCTATGTGTGGGGGAGTGGTCCCAAAGGGAACAATGCCCTTGATTGGCTCTAGGCTGGCTTTCAGTCACTTCTCCTGTTACCCACAAGCAAATTGGGCCCTTCTGGTGCTCATTCCTGGGTGGGTGGGCTTGTGTATGTTCCAGGACTCTGTGGGTCTCTCCAACAGACTCTCCTGTGAGACTAGCAATTTCTCCTACTGCTGCAACCCCCACAGGTTTTTACAGCTAGAGGTTTTGAGGCTTTCCTTTCCTGGGCTGGAACCCTGGGTTGCATGGCTTGTCTCACTGCCCAGTTGATCCTCTTGGTTTATCCACATGTGAATGTGGGACCACCAGCCACCACCTCACCTGCCCAGTCCACCAGCTGCCTCGCCTGCCTGGTCCTCCAACCGCCACCTTGCCACGCATCCTCTCCACCCCAGCTGCCCATCTCCACCCCTCCTACCAGTCTGGATGACTGTTTCTTCTTTAACTCATTGGATGTCAGACTTCCATACAGTTCAATTTTATGACAGTTCTAGTTGTTTTTGTTTTTAAATTTGTTGCTCTTCTTCTTTTGGTTGTGCAAGTAGGCAAAGCATATCTACCTACCCCTCCATCTTGGCCAGAAGTATATAACCATTTTCTTATTGGCTTGTTGGATTTTGAATATCATTTTCCAGGAAGTTTTACAAATGGAGAAATTTGATATGCATTGCCAATATTTTCCCAACTCGTTTTTTACCTTTTGAACATGATGGTTCATGTCATACAAAAATAATTCTGTATGTCGTTGCCTTTATTAACTTTTTCTTTAATGCCTCCTGAATTTCATGTTACACTTTGAAATTCTTTCCCAACATTGAGTAAAAAAAGAATTTCCCTATGGTTTCTCCAGGAACTAGTATATTTTCATTATTTATTTTTAAGTATTTGGGTTACATATAGATTTATCCTAACATCACATATAAAGTATGTTTTCAACTTTATTTTATTTTAGATGACCTCCAGTTATCTCAATTCCAGTCACAGAATAGTTCATGTTGCATCTACTACTTTAACATACATTATTTTGTCATATACTAAATTCCTATATGCATTTGGGTCTGATTCTGAGACTTATGTCTCATTGATCAATTTCCCTACATATGGCTTTCTGAATCCAACTCCTCCTCTGGACTTCTAACAAATGAAGACTCCTTCATACATCCTCTTCTTTTCAGTCTGTATTTACCACCTGAGGAAGCTCTTCCAGACCTTTAAGGATAAGTGCCAAAAGGCCATGCTCTAGTTTATGGTTATTGTTCACACTGATATTCCATTGCCTGAAATAATGCCTGGGACACCATAGGTCTATATTCGTTTTCGAGGGCTACCATAACAAAGTAGCAGAGACTGGGTGGCTTCAACAACAGGAATTTATTTTCTCAAGTTCTGGAGACTAGAATCCTGAGATCAAGTGTTGTTATGTTTTGAAGCCTCTCTTCTTGGCTTATAGATGGTATCTTCATGTGTCTTTACATGGTCTCCTCCTGTGCATGTGTCTATGTCCTAATCTTCTCTTCTTATAAGGACACCAGTCTTTTTAGATAAATGCCCACCGTAACTACCTCATTTTAACTTAATTATCTCTTCAAAGACTGTCTCCAAATAGTCATATTTATGAGATTCTGGAAGCTATGACTTCAGCATATAGATTTAGGGGGAGACAATTCAGCCCATTGAAGAACTTTTTGAATATTTGAAGTAGTTTCTCTTTTTTAAATTTTATTTATTTTATTTTTAAAGAGAGGGGAAGGGAGGGAGAAAGAGAGGAAGAGAAACATCAATGTGTAGTTGCCTCTCACACACCCCCTACTGGGGACCTGGCCCACAACCCAGGCATGTGCCCTGACTGGGAATGGAACCAGCGACCCTTTGGGCACTCAAGCCAGCACTCAATCCACAGAGCCACATCAGCCAGGGAAATAGTTTCTAATTCAAATGACATTTAAAAAAAATAACAAGTAACTTAATTTGACTGTAGCATGAAGCACATGAAAGGAAAACATAGGAGATAAGACAAATTTTTAATATTTACACCAAATAAAAATAAATTTTGAAATTACATGAAGTGGAAGAGGAAAGAAGAATATGTTATGTACGCTGAACTGCTTACATTTTATAAGGGAAGTCAACTGATCCACTTCTCAGTGCTGATAAATTGAAAATATAATTGTAAGTTTAGAGTTCAGAGCTAATAATAATAAGTGAAATAAAAATGGGTGGCCCTGGAGAATGAGATTCGGAGAGACTGTTACCTTGTATGTATTTCTCCATCACTTGGGAATAAATTATACACATATATGCATACTGCTGTGAGAATTAAAACAAACAAACAAGGAAGTGGTTTAGGCCACAGTGAACTTTCACTCTATGATATACTTTAATCTTTAGTCTTAAAGTGTCTCAATGCCAACTTACATTGCTTGACATTGCTCCCCAGGCTCACAGTTGTCAATTACAGGTTCACAACAGTGATTACTTACCGAGAGAATGACCAGATGGGGTAGCATGGGAGTGGCTGACATGTGAGTGGACGTGGGTGGGGCAAATGATGAGAAACATCTCGGTAAGGGATCTTGTCTCAAACAGCTCTGACCTCTGCCTGGCCCACAGTCTCTGCACAGGAAATTACAAAGTCTGTCCAGTATCTTGATAACCTTGTTTGGTCATCAGCTTCCACTCCATTTCCTGCACAAGCCTCCTGATTTAGAGCACAGAGAAGTGTCTTCTGGCATCACTCTACCCCAGAAAGACTCTCCCCTTCAGCACAAGTCAGCTCTCCACCTATGACCAGAAGAATGGAAGAAAGGTAAGAATATTATCCACAACTGACTTAGGTCCAAAGACAGTTACAGTTTTTGCTCTAAGGTTCTATCCGCGTGGTTCCACTTTGGGCGCTACATGCAGGAACTGTGGTGCATCCTTCAGGAAAGGCAGGAGACACAAAGCTCTCCTCTAGCATCTGTGAGTGCAGCAGTTCCAACTGTCAGGGATGCAGATGGGGTCAACCGGAACCTTTCTCTCTTCTGATATATCTCCCCATAGCCCGCCCTTCATTCCAACAATTCAAATCTATTGTCATGGAAAGAGAGTTCCCACTCACATTAATTTAGGGAGCAAGATAAAATGCAAGCATTGCTTCCCAAGGCAAAACTTCTATAACCCAGATTTCATTGCTTTCAATTTTTTTTCTCTTGTGGATCTGGCAGAGTCCCAGGAGTAAACAGCCCAAACTGGGATAAATGGGGAGTTTTCAGGAGGGACCACGGAGCAGGTTTAAGGGAATGTGGCAATGCATCAGGTGGAGCACCTGAGGCAAGCAGTAGTGGAGCACTGTTCCCACCCTGAGGCTTAAAGGGACCAGGGAAGGAGCAAGTACACACAGAGAGCAGAGCCGTAATCATAGCAACAGTAGAGGACCACCAGCGTGGTAGAGAAGCCTTTGCAGGGACAGAGCCCAGAGATGAAAAGCCCAGATCTCTCCTTCTCTGCCCTTCAGTCTCCTAGCAGCTCAGTTTAACCAGAACAAGGACAGCAGCCTACTGATAAGGTACATAAAAGCCGCCTTCTTGGAATGCCAAACGGGGTAGAGAAGTTGAAAAGGAGATCCTCAGAGCAAATGTACACTATCCCTCACAGCTCCTTGACCTCCTTACAGTTTTTTTACTTCCTGGTTTTTCCTCTCTCTCAATATCATCAAATCATTTCTCATCTCATCTCCATCAGTTCATTTGTCCTTCTGTTTGCACCTTCTTTCTCCAGTTTCACTTTTAAAAAGCAATCACCCACATTCATAAAAAAAAAATTGCCTTGCCATTGGTATGTAGTTTTAAAAGAAAAACACATCTTTTATGGGTCTAAGATTGTTCCTCTAATAGCAACCTGTGGTAATAAATACTTAAACAAGAGAGAAAGTTTATTCAACCTGGACTGGAGGCTCCAAGGCATTCCTTCCAGCTTGCATCTCCCTATCCCTAGACAGGTGCCCTCATCCTCATGGTCCTCCCTGACCCCCAGACACATCAGCATTCAGCCACTCAACAGAGAAAGAAGGGAAGAGGAAGCCTGGCCCGGGGATTGTGTATATCACTTCTGCTCGTCACCCATTGGCCAGTGCCTAGTCACACGATGCCAGCAGTAACAAGAAGTTAGGAAATAGGGTCCTTTCTCTGGTCTTAAACTCTCAGAATCATTATGTGAAGGATGAGGAGAATGAACATCAGGGGCAATCTCTGCACCCCCTGTTTGCTCTTCACATTCTGAGTTCATATAAAGATTTTTCGGGAGCTCCTCAGAGATCATGAACAATGCAGCAGAGAAGAGTGGGAAAGCCAGAGGCAGGGCTCCAGGAGACTAGGACTGGTGGGGAGGGCCCTCTTCAAGGTGAGACCTCAGGAGAACCCCTTTGACGTTTTAGGCCTCATCTTCTCCCTGTTTTGAATGAAGATATTACAACAGATGGTCTCTACAGGACATGTGCTAAAATGCTGGAGATGCAAGAGTGAACAACAGGCTCAACCCAGTCCTTAGGAAGTTTCCGGTTTGATTAGGATGCCTCCTATGACACACTAGAGAACGGATTTACTGACTGTTCAGTTTTCTGAGTGGGAATAGCAGAGGCCCTAGTTTTCCTCCCACATCCTTTTCTAACCAACCAGGGCTCTGGGAGCTTGTCCTTCTAAGAGAACACACAATGGATGATTTTGTACTTGATTCTTCCCTGTGCCCAGAAGATGTCTCTTCTTTCCATGTGGAAGCCTCCTGTCCATGTGAGTCCTCTGGACTTTGGAGCAATGGCTGCCTTTCTGAGGCAGAAAAGGGCTCCTGGATTCTGCTGTCTGTTCCTAATTGGCGTCTGCCCACCTCTCCTTCTTCCCTATTTCACTGCTTTTCCTCTCCGTATTTCTGGAGTTTGATTATGTTAGTTGTTGTTTTTTGTTGTTTTTTTTTAATCGACAGTGTTGACGGCCATCCTGAATTTAACCTGAGAATTACTTCTCTGCCTTTTCCCTGTCCAGGAGTAATCGATACTACGGGGGTGGTGGGTCTATGGGGCTGGTCAAAAGTGTAGACCCTGAGGGAGCCCTGCCGGGTTCACATCCACACTCTGTGAGACCAGGAACACAACACTCATCTTTTTTGTGAATCAATTCCATCCTCTGTAAAATGGGAATAATACTAGTTCTCGCCCCAAAGGGGCCTTGAGAGGATTACAGAGATGATACCTGATTTACTCCCAACTAGCTGCTCTTACGCCCTCAGAGGTGAGCTGGTTCTCTTGGTCCACTGCGCATTTGCTTGAGCATCTCTCTTTACATCCACAGTCCTGCACTGTCCCATTTTCCCTCATAGACGCCTCTCACAGAAACGCTTGACTCAGCCAGGCAAACCCCACAAAATATCTCCTGGGAGAAGGAGCAGAGTAGGTTTCCATTGTGTGCTCCACAGCACCCCACTTCATAGCCCCCCATAGTTATTTCTAAACTTCAAGTGCCTCTTTTCGGTGGCACTCAGGCCTCACGCTCACTTGCTCCCCTGTACTCAGCTCAGCCCAGCCCCAAATCTCATTCTCTTTTGAGCACCAAAATGACTCCGGGTGCTCAGCAAAGCCATGTAGAGTCCTTACTTCAAATGCATATCAGTTGTCAGTGGGTAAGTTTTCTGGGCATACATAGGTAACTCTTCTAAATACGCACAGACCCTCCACAAAAAGAATCATGATGAGTGAAATTTTCTTCACCCATTACACATGGATGTTTTAATACCTTTAATTGCGTTTTCTTTTTTTTTTTTTAACATTTAACTCAGATCTTCCATTGTCATTATGCTCCTCATTCATTTATTCTTTCATCGAATAAATATCTCTTGAGAACACACTATGTGCCACATACAGCTAGGGCATTAGGGATAAAAAGTGCTTCTGTCTTCACAGAGCTGACACACTGAGCCATTTTGAGCCCACCTGTCCCAGCCATGCTCACACCTGTCATAGCAAATCGCATTCCTTTCATGTCCCTAAAGCATGGCCTTTCTCTGTGGTGAATGGGCCCAGCAGCCATGAGGGTGGACTCTGGTCATCTCTGTGTCTTTCTGACTTCATGCAGCTGAGGGGGAGATCCCAGTTGAGGACAGAAGTAATACTTAGGTCCATAGCTCTCTTCTGGTCTCTCTGATTCTCTCAGACCTTGACCTCCTTCTTCAGAAAATTCTGGGGACATGACATTACCTCTGGACAGTGAGTGGGAGCTGGAGGAGGGGTGGGCATGATGGGACTACAGAGTTTTCTCACATCCGTAGACGGCCTGTGTTGCAATAGAAAGAGCCCCGGCTCCAAGTTGGAGAGAACCTGGTTTGAAGCGAGGTTCCCGGACTTCAGGGCTGTGTGGCTTTCCATAAGTGTCTTGACCTCTACAAGCCTCCGTTTCCCTCCCCTGTAACATGGGACAGTAATAGCCGCATGGCATGGTGACTTTGAGACTCAGTGATCACACCAGGGGCTCAAATCTTCTTTGTTTTCTTTTCCCCCCGAGGGTCACCACTGCAGATTTTCTGAGCAAAGGTACAGATGTCACAGCCTGGGGGACTGGACTCACAGCAAAGAATGGAAGTGACCAGGCCCCCTCTAAATGTGGCAAGGCAACCCTGGCCCTAAATGTGCTGGCCTTCCTCATTGCCCTGGTCGGGCTGGCAGGAAATGCTGTTGTGTTCTGGCTCCTGGGATTCCGCATGAAGAGGAACGCCTTCTCTGTCTACATCCTCAACCTGGCGGGAGCCGACTTCCTCTTCCTCTGCTGCCAGATTGTGCATTCCCTGCAATCATTCATCAAGCACTCCTGTTCCATCTCCGGATCCATCCCCTACTTTTTCATCAGTGTGTCCATCTTCGCCTACATCTCAGGCCTGAGCTTTCTCTGTGCCATTAGCACAGAGCGCTGCCTGTCCATCCTGTGGCCCATCTGGTACCGCTGCCGCCGCCCGAAGCACATGTCAGCTGTCATGTGTGCCCTGCTCTGGACCCTGTCCCTACTGCTGAGTGTCCTGGAAGGAAGCTACTGTGGCTTCCTGATGAGGAATCGTGACCAGACTTGGTGTCAGACATTTGATTTCATCATTTTCGCCTGGCTGATTTTGTTATGTGTGCTCCTCTCTGGGTGCAGCCTGGCCCTGCTGAGCAGGCTGTGCGGCTCCCGGCGGCTGCAGCCCACCAGGCTCTATGTGGTCATCCTGCTGGTAGTCCTGGTCTTCCTCCTCTGTGGCCTGCCTTTTGGCTTCAAGTGGTTTCTGTGTTACTGGGTTGAGAAACTTTGCAGTAAAACGTTTTCATACTTTCTGACAGTGACTGGGTTTGTCCTGTCTGGCCTTAACAGCAGTGCCAACCCCATCATTTACTTTTTTGTTGGCTCCTTTAGGCAGCAGTGGCAGCTGCAGCAGACCCTCAAGCGGGTTCTCCAGAGGGCTCTGGAGGACATGGCTGAGGTGGAAGAAAGTGGAGGAAGCCTTCCGCAGGAAACCAAAGAGAGTTCAGGAAGCAGTTTCACGTAGTGATTCTCCATCAAGCAGGGTTCCGTCAGAGAAGTAATACTTATAGAAGTTTACATATATAATTATGTAAGACATTTATATAGTGTAAGGAGATGATATACGTACATACATATATACTCAAATGTGGTTTAACTGTCTCTGTTTGCTGAGCTGCTGCTTGTCTCTGTTTGCAAGGCTGCTGCTTGTCTGATGCTAGAGCCTGAAGTCGGCAGGGCAAATGAGGACCCAGGAGCATGAGTTAAAACCCGGGATAACCAACCAGAATTCATGTCAGTCTCTCTCTGTGCCTGCATTTTGATGCTATGAGAGTTCTTCAGGAGAAGTCGGTTGCCTTCCTCATGGAGCTAAACACACACCTGGTCCAGAGTCAGAGACACTAAAGGAGGATCCAAGGGAAGGCGGAGCAGCTGCGGACCCATCTGCTGCCTCACACCAAGGCGATGAGCGTGCCGTTGCATGAGCCTTCCGTGCATGAAAACAATATGGCTGCTGCTTCATTTCCAACCACCAAGTCGTGTATAAATTGTCTCTTGATGTGCCCCTTAACCAGGAGCATACACAGAAGGGAAAGGAATTCTAGGAAACATAGTTCAGCCTAGCCAAGTTGACAAGATGACACTTTCAAACACATCACAGTCTACCCCTTGTCAACTTTGCACCCGTATACACCTCCTTAAACTATAAATAATTCCAAATAAAGCGAATTAAGCAAAGTCACCCTTCTCCTTAACATGATGTACGTATTACACCTATACCCGAAACATCCCAACTTTTCCCCTAAAAGAGGATACATCTGTTCCTGTGCGTTGGACCATTTGTATATCTTTTTTTGAAGTGCCTGTTCAGGTTTGCTATCCATTTTTACTGGGTTGTTAGTCTTGTTATGTTGATTTGTTGGAATTCTTCATGTATTCTCAATAAAAATCCTTTGTCAGATTTATGCATTGCAAATACTTTTTCCCAGTCTGGGACTTGCCTATTCATTTTGAAAGTATCTTTTCATGGGCAGGAGTTTTTGCTTTTTATGAAACCTAATTTTTTTTTCTTTTATGGTTATTGCTTTATGCGTTCTAGGAAACCCTTGCCTACTCCCAAGGAAGCAAAGGTATTCTCCAATGTTTTCTTCTAACACTATTATAATTTTTGCTTTCTAGAAAAGAGCAAAATTACTTTTAGATGCATGAACCATGTCAAATGCATTTTTGTGCAGAGTTTGAGGTAGGAGTCAAATCTCCTTTTTTCCCCATACAGTTGTCCAGGTGTCCAGCACACTTGTTGAAAAACATCTCCCCACCCCCAATTGAGCCATTTAGCTCCTGTGTCCTTATCCTTATAAACTATCCTTATAAACATGGAAATATTTCTGGACATTCTGATCTGTTCTATCAATCTATCCCAGGAGTCAGCCTATAGGCTAAATCCAGCTCACTGCCTGTTTTTTTAAATAAAGTTTTATTGGGAAATAACCATGCCCATTTGTTTATGTATTGTCTGTGGCTACTTTCATTCTAGAACAATAGAGTTTAGTAGCTATTACAGAAACTAAAATATTTTCTATCTAGCCTTTTACAAAATGTTTGCTGGCCTCTGGTGTATTTGTACACCGACACCCGCTGTTATGATGGCTGTAGCTTTGTGGTAAGTCTATCGGGTTGTATATATCCTCTAATTTTGTTTTTCTTCTTCAGGATTATTTTAGCTAGCTAAGTCTTTTTACATTTCTCTACAAGTTTTAGGAAAAAACTTCTCTAACATCTATCAAAATCCTCATGAAATTTTGACTACGATTATTTTGAATCTATTAATTCATTTGCAGATAATTGACATCTTGAAGATAAAGAGAATTTGAATTCATAAATGTGGTATATATAGCTATTTATTGAGGTCTTCCTTAATTTTTCTCAGCAACTTTTTGTAGTTTCTACTCTATAAATCTTGAACACCTTTTGCCAAATTAGTATTTTGTGTTTTGTTATACTATTGTACACAGTATTTCTTACTTAGTTTTCCAATTGTTCATTGATAGAATATAGAAATATAATTGAGAGCAAGATGGCTGGATAGGAGGCTCCTCCTAACATGCCCTCCTCCCAAAGAGGGTTACTTCCCTCTGAGACAAATCCAGAAGCAAGCAGAGTGACTTCTATAGGTCAGGCAACTTAAGCCAGGTACAAGGCTTCACATTTTCTCCCCTAGGTGTGCCTACAGCCCACCTCAAAACAGGTTATTTCAGAAACATAAATTCCATTGGCCACAGCATTTTTTTGTTTATTTTGTAAACATAGATTTATTAAATGATATATCCAGAATATATGAGCTCACAACTTAATAACAAGAAAACAGTCAACTCATTTTAAAATAAATAAAAGATTTTTTAAAGTTTTTTTTATTTTTAATTACAGTTGACATTCGATATTATATTAAAGGCCATGGTATTTTTTTTTAAAGAGCCCCCGGGAGCAGATAGGAGTAGCTCTCACAATCTTGATCACTGCAGGTACAACATTCTCCCCTAATGTTTCCTAGAGTGAAAAGGAAACTTCTTTGCCACCTCCAGTTAGAAAAATCTCAATGGGCATGCACATTGGTCCTGCTAGGATCACGTGACCCCACTGGACCAGTCATGAGAGACAGGTGTAGGGGCATTCTCAAATCATTTACTCAAAAACCAATATTCCTTTTCAGGAAAGCAGCATCTGTCACCAGCAAAAAGGGAAGGCTCGTAGTTATGAACATGAACAATGGAGGATTTGTGGGCCAGTCAGCCACACAAACTAGTGCCAGATACGTGATGCTTTTGTTCAGACCTATGCTGCCCTGTCCTCTGTTATTCAGAGCCGGCTTGGAATTTGGGCTGATATCACATGGCCCATTCTGCCGAGTGGACAACCATTTCTATCCCGTCAACAGGTGATAAATAAGTATAGGGTATCAATATTGGTAAAGTACTCTGACTGACCCTTTGAGAGATGCAGAAATGGACAAGGTATAGCAGTAGAGGGGATTCTTCTGAGAGCAGAGATGTTGGCTGCCAGGGACCACTGCCTCAGCTAGCTGAGCACAGAGGCCGAGCTCCATTAGGGCCCTAGATGGTGGAGGTGCAAACTTGGGGCAGCTTCAGGAAAGGGCTGACATTTGAGAGCAGAAGCTCATACCTTTACATAGCCCTTTGTTTACAAAGCCAGTTCTTAACAGCTATTTTTCTTATCTTTTGATGCTCATAACAATCCTAGGAGGTGCCCAAGTTTGAGATACAATTCTCAACCCCAAGGGATGGCAACAGGGAAAGCAAGCAGACACAGGGTGATTTTAAGAAAAGCACAAGAACTACTTAGAAAGCATTGAACCATGTGGAGGTTTCCTCTCTGGTTAACACCAATTGGCAGATAAATTCTGTGGAGTGCTGCCTTCATAGGAATCCTCGGCTCCAGCCAGACTCCGTGTGGCAAGATCCTGGGATCCATTCCCATTCCCCATATCTTCCATGGTTGGGGTTTGGGAGAATGATGCCCGAAAATAGGAGACAAGAAATAGTAACTGAGGATGGAAAGGTAAGTAAAATTCAGAGGATCTGAAAGGTTGAGTTGATTAGACATTGTTTTCTCCAGTTGTCGGGGGGGTGGGGAAATTCTCTTAATTTGGGTTAAGCCAAATTGTGGGACCTGTCCACCCGGATGTGTGAGACCCCTGTGACCCTAAGAAGTAAAATGAAAAATCAGGATCCTCTCCGTAACCACTGTACTCCCCTTGTTCGTCTATACACTTATTCTCTCAGCTCCCCCTTCTGGAAAACCTGAGGTTCAGCATCACAGCAAATCTGTGAAGAATGATCATACTTGTCCCGCAGTCAGAGGACGGCTGCAGGCGCACAGGGGCGGAGACATGGGGGAGGGCGGGAAGGAAAGCCTCTTTTCCCTTGTGTCTCCTGGGGTCCTCCCTAAGCACAGGGCAGAACGCCCCAGAATCCTGTATTCATGGTAATCCCCAAATCCATGGTAATTTGTTAGTAACAACAGACTACTTAATACAATTGGCAAGTAGATATATGAGTCTGGAATTAAGAGGTTTTATCTCTTGTGGAGATAAAAATGTGGGAATCATCAGTATATAGATTCCACTTGTGCTGGTTATTGCCCAATGTTGCTCATCAATATTCCACCCTTTTCTGCTTTTCTCCGTGCCCCAGAAAACTACCTCCTACTGACTAAATTTATGGGCTTCCTTGGTTCAGCCAATGGGAGGTGCCAGCAGGAAAGAGTGGCCAAGATATTTCTTCCTTTGCTGTCTCCCAGCTCTGGGTAGTACCATCCCTAGACTTGGGTAAGAGTGGCCCTTGCTGAGCTGACAGTGCCATCTGGGTGGGCCTCGCCCTCCAACTCTCCTCTCTCATACTGCATGAGGTGAACAGTAGGAAGAGCGATAGTTCACCTACAGTAACAGTAAGGAAGAGAAGGTACGTGGTTAAAGTTGCTTATTGGTAGGTAATAGGTATAGAGGTGGAGCTTTGAGGAATTTCTCTTCTAATTGTTTCCATTGTACCAGTTAAGGTCATCAGTTGACAGTGGGGATGATGGAGGAGTCGGAGGCTTAAGGAAAGAGGAAGTCATAGAATAGTCATAGGAGAACAAGAGATGAATAGATTAGGGAATGCACCATAGCTGCCTGGCAGCACTAAGGATTCACTTGAAGCTGTTGATCATTTATTTTATTTTATTTTTCAGTTACAGTGTACATTCAATATTATTTTGTATGCGTTTCAGGAGCACAACATAGAGGTTATATACTTTACAAAGTGGCCCCCTCAATATTTCAAGTACCTCTCTGACACCATATATAGTTATTACAATATTATTGACTATATTCCATATGCTATACTCTACATCTCCAGGACCATTTTGTGACTACCAATTTGTAGTTCCCATCCCTTCATCTTCTTCACCCTGCCCTGCTAACCATCAGTCTGTTCTCTATATCTATTAGTCTATTTTATTTGGAGTAGAAAATAAATATTCATTTATTTTGCTCTTTAATTGCACATACATGTAACATTATATGGTATTTGTCTTCTTCTGTCTGATTTATTTCACTTAACATAATACTCTCTAGTCCATCCATGCTGTCACGAATGGTAAGATTTCATTCTTTTTCAAGGCCAATATTCTACTGTATATTTGTA